GCCCTATTCTCGTGGGTTCTGAGCTATGTGTGAACTCTGCCCGGCTCTGTCATCTTGCCCCTGGTTTGCTTTCTTATAGAACAAGAATAGTGCTGCTTCTCCAGCCAAAAAGAAAGAAAACAAGGTCCTTAAAGAAGTTGTTGCTTGTGGGGCCAAGGTGGGGCCCAAAGCCAAGGCCACTGCTCCTCCTAGGGCCAGTGGGTCTAAGACAGTGCCTGCACCCCTGGCCAGGAAGACGGGGGCCCCCAAGGGCCCAAGAAAGCCCGGCATGCCCACCAAGGCCTCGTCGTCCAAACTGGCCAGTAAGAAAACAGAAGCTGAAAGCTAGAGCTGGGGTGGAGAGAGACTGAGATTCTGCTCAAGTTTTTATTTCCCAAAAAACCATTACTCTATTTATTTCATTGTAACCTATTTATCAATAAAGGTGTTTTTCCCCTCACAAATTGGTGTGAGGAGAGGCTGAAGTCCAAGGATTTGGCCATCTGGGGCTTGGGCCCAGGTAGGAACTCCTGCCCTGCAGGGAGACAGGTTGTACAATGTAAAGGGTTCAAGGCCTGTGGAGGCACAGAAAGGGTGTTAAACCCAGCCTGATATCTGGGACTGCTTCCTGGAGGAGGCAGCTTTTGGTCTTAAAGGATGAGCAGGAGACAGCTGAGGGGAAGGATGCTGCAGGCAGAGGACCCAGCATGTGAGGTGGGGCTGGACATTGTGGTAGAAGGAAGGGTTTTGTGGCTCTGAGAGGAGCATGAGGTGGGGGTAAGGGTGAGGGTTGGGGGAGACGAGGGAAGGTAGACTTTCTCCTGGGGGCAGTGGAGTACCAGGGAGGGTTATAGGCAAGGGGGGGAGACTAAAGTAGTACGTGTTTAGAAAGAGCCCTCTGGCTGCAGAGAGGTGGGTTTGAGTTGCTGAGAGCAGCCAGAGACGGTTCAATGCCTAGCAGTGCCCTGTTCTAATCAGCAGAAGGAGGGGAGAAGCAAAGGCCCGGCGGTGGGATCATGCTTGACAGGCTCAAAGAGCTGGAGGAAGGTCCATGTGGCTCAAGTCCAATGAGGGGGTAGTAATGGGAGATGAGGTCCAGGGTGCAGTGACATCTGTGAGACTCTTCCCATGGAGAGGTGGAGTCTACGTCCCTGCCCTTTAAATCTGGGCTCTGTGATTGCTTGAACAGTAGAATGTAGCGGAAAGGACATTATGATGCTTTCTGGGCCCAGGTCTTAAGAGACTGGCAGCTCCTACTCCCTGTGTGTAGTGTTGGTTTTGGTTTTGGTTTTGGTAGTTGCTCTTAGAACTCCACCACAATGCTGTGGGAAAGCCCAAGAAGCCAGTGGAAAGGAACAGAGGTATCCCAGTTTTCAGCCCCAGCTGCAATCCCTGACCAGTTTGCCAGTCGTAGGAGTGTGCCCCCTTGGATCCAGAACTTCTGGCTGTAGTTAGCTGCCTCGGTTGACACCATGGCCGAACCCTGTCCCAATTGCAGATGCACAGGCAATGGACAGTAGTGTCCCCTTATCTGCGCTTTCGCTTTGTGTGGTTTCATTTACCTGTGGTCATCCATGCTCCGGAGACAGGTGATCCTTCTGACCTATTAGCTGAAGGTCGATAGTAATCTCATGCTACGTCAGGGTGCCTACGTCATTTGCTGACTTCATCTCACCACATGGGCCTTTTATCATCTCCCATTATCACAAGAAGTTATTTTGAGAGACAACATTCACATAATTCTTATCATAGTATAGTATTATAATGGCTCTGTTATTACTTGTTGATCTCTTACTGTGCCTACTTTATAAATTACTTTATCAAGGGAATGTACGTCTAGAAAAGTACACAATATATATAGGGTTCATACTGTGCAGTTTCAGGCATCCACTGGAGGTCTTGGAATGCATCCCCCGCAAAGAAGGGGGAACTACTGTAAATAAATGCTATTGTTTTAAGCCCCTGAGCATTGGGGTGGTTTGTTATGTGGCAATAGATAACCATGACAAGGACTGCAGGGTAGACCAGGAAGGGCCTTGTAAACCAGGGTAAGAACTTTGGGTTTCGTTGGTTTTCGTTGTAATTGTGAGGAGGAGCCATTAGAGGGTCCTGAGCAGCAGAGTGACAGCAGGGGACACGGGCAACAGTGGGAGGCCGGCTCCTGCAGCAGGGGTCCAGGTGAGGGGAGGGCTTAGAAGTAGTGGATTCTGGGTAAAAGTTTAAGACAGGTGCATGGAATTTGCTGAAGGGTTGGATGTAAGAAAGGGGTCACTGATGAGTCTACAGTTTGGGGTCCACACAGCCTGGTAACTCGACAGTGACAATTTCCTGGGGTGAGGACTTGGTTCGGGCAGGAGGCTGCAGAGAGGTGGTCAAAGTGGTGACCACTGAGCACAGGCAGGGCAGAGAAAGAATGGGTGAGTTAGAAGGGAGAGGGAGGTAAACTGGACAGGAATTGGGAAAGAGGGCAGATGGGAGTCAAAGGGAAACTGAGGCAGGCCAGCATGGGGCATGAGGCAGTTCCCTTCCTGTCCCTGCTCTTTCAAAACCCTACCCTCCTTCCTTGAATCCCACATGAGGCTTTTTCTAGCTGTGCTGACAGCCTCCCTGGGGTATCTGTAGTGTGGCTGCCAGCAGGGCCCCGAGGGTACTTTGAGCAGATGGCAGGGGCTGGGCCAGCACTTTCCTTGGAGAGGGTCTGGTTGTGCCTCTGCTCCTTTTATGGTTTGGCAGGGGGTTGTGGGAGGCACCCGGCCAGGCTCTGGGGCGGCATTCCGGGGCCTCACAACTCCACGAGCTAGGAGCAGGTTAGCATTCCTGGCCTGGCAGAGGCCGGGCAGCATCCAGTACCCCCGTGAGACACGGACGAGTCTCCTCCCCGCTTGAGGACACTGTGCTGAAGGTCTCCACCTCCCATGACCCTCGGACAGCAAAGACACTCCTGAGGCTGCAAGGCAAGTCTTCAGGGCCCCAGATACGAACTGTGGACAATTCACAGAAGTTGCCCACCTTCCGTGTTGAGAAATGACCCCAGAAACCAGAGCTTTCCTCCATGTGCAAATGTGTTATGAAACTTCAAGAAGGAATTGCATGTTAATCAGGCATGAAAACAGGCTGCAGAATATTTAATGACACGGAAAGATGTTACTGACATATTGTTGCATGGGGGAAAGGCAGGTTACAAAATGGTGTGTACACCCTGGTCCCGAATTTTATTCAGCCCCCGACCCAGGCAGGCACACAATCTGGACCGACATTCTCTGAGACATTGACCTTGGGTGGGTTCGCATAGCTTTATTTTCTAAGTGCTTTTTGTACTTCCTGACATTTCTGCAGGAAACCTGTGTTCACAAATCACACCAAAAAAAAAAAAACCCTATCAAATGTGTCAATAACTTAAATTAGAAAATCTGCTTAATAAAAAGGAATCAGTGCTCAGAATAGAAAATTTGAAAAGATAAAGAATCTGTCCCCACCCCGAAGCCAGTACAGGAAAAGGCTATTTTTAAAGCTAAAAATTGTTTATTTTTCTTTTCTCACTTCTCTGTTCTCATTAATTCTAGAACTGGTATTTGTGGGATTTTGTTTCAATTGTATGAATTTTTCTGTCCTAGTTCTTATTCTTGATAAATGTATGCTTAGTTTTTTCCCCATTATGACGGAAAAATAATTAACTTGAGTAGCTTCTAATTGGGAGCCAGTTTGCTAATGACCTTTTCCCGGGGGATGGCGTTGAACACCCCCCCCCCCACCAGCTTCGGCCCCGAGCCAGCAGGGTGGGCCGGGGGTTCTGTGGCAGTGCTGACCCTGAGGAAGGTTAACTGCTGTGAGGAACAGATTGCCCCACTGGAAACAGTCCAGGGTTACACTGGCCTTGGGGAAACTGCGTATTTCCTCACGTGAAAAAATGGGGTTTTCAAGATTGATGAGATATTCAAGGGGCATATGTAAACATCAGCTGTCTTCCTAGGACAGTCACCTTGACCTCCCCACCCATTTGGGGTCCACTGTGGAGACTGCCTGGAGGAAGCACAAATGAGAATAGGGAGGCCGTGCAACCTGGTTTGTGTCCCCACTTTGCTGCTCCCTGGCTATACAATCTGCGGGGGTGGGGGGCGGAATTCCTCCACTGCATTGAGAGTCAGTTTCTACATCTGTAAAATGGGCATAATATTCTGTTCTTCACAGGCCTGTTCTTTTTTTTTTTTTTTTTTAAATTTTTTTTTTCAACGTTTATTTATTTTTTTTGGGACAGAGAGAGACAGAGCATGAACGGGGGAGGGGCAGAGAGAGAGGGAGACACAGAATCGGAAACAGGCTCCAGGCTCTGAGCCATCAGCCCAGAGCCCGACGCGGGGCTCGAACTCACGGACCGCGAGATCGTGACCTGGCTGAAGTCGGACGCTTAACCGACTGCGCCACCCAGGCGCCCCAAGGCCTGTTCTAAAGGTAAGTAGGAGCAGGACCCATATGGCAGCTATGACATCTTCCTGGAGGTCCCATGGATGCCCTCCAAGTTCAGGAAGGTTGGCTATGGGTCAGGCCCAGAGCAAGCAGACATTGTCCCACTGAATCCTGCCATTGCCTTCCCAGAACTAAGGTATCTGCCCAAGCTTGTGAACGAGGATGGCGGAGGCAGGGCTCTAAACCTGGCTGCCCTCTCCTTTCTACTACAAGCTCACCTTTCCCTCCTTGGCCATCTCAGGATAAAGGCTGGAGCCCACGCAGGTTTTCCCATCAGGCTTTTATTATAAAGAAGGTTCCAGAGCTTCCCAGCCACCCCCTCCAGCCCAGCCCCCATGGGCTCAGAGCCAGTCCCAATGCTGGCTGGGTCTGCTGCAGGGGGAGCCGGGTCAGCCACGGAGGGTTGCTTCTGACAGGAACAGAATGGGTGATTTTTTTTCAGGCCTTTGGGGGGGGGG